CCCAAAACCCTCCTTCCTGCACCAAGACTTAAGCCACGCATTGACCTCTCTAATCTCCCGCTGCCTTTCCACTGTAGCGCGTGGCACAGGTAATATCTCAGAGAATACCACCTTGGAGGTCCTTTTCTTAAGTTTGCTACCTAATTCCCTGAAATCATTCTTTAGGACCTTCCATCTTCCTCTTACTTTGTCATTGTTACCAACATGGACCATGACCGCTGGGTCATCCCCAGCCCCTCCCAATAATCCATCCACTCTGTCAGCAACATGCCGGACCCGAGCACCCGGGAGACAGCAAACTGTCCGGTTGAGCCGATCAGAGCGGCAGATTGCCCTATCTGCTCTCCTAATGATAGAGTCCCCTACCACCACAACCTGTCTTGCCTTCCTTACATTTTGATCCCCACCCGTACTAGGGGGCTGTTAGCTCGGCTGTTAGAAGTAACAGCTTCCTCTAATACAGCTACTCTTGAGCTGATGCTCCCAACATCTTCCCTCAAATGGGCAAATCTGCTAGGTTGCATCAGATCAGGACTAGCTAGCCCTTTCCTCTTCCCTCCCCCCCTGCTTCCTCGCCCCACTGTCACCCAGCTACATGCCTGTTCCCCATCTGTCTTATCTCCTCCCTCTCCACTACCTGTCCCCACTAAACTCTGCTCAGTGAGCAGTAGACTCCTCTCAAGATTGTCAATCTCCCTCAATGTTGCGATTTGCTTCTCGAGATCTCCAATCTGAGCTTCCAGAGAAGCCACTCGCACACAACCATCACAGAGGTATGGACCCTGGACGGGTACATCCAGGCAGCCATTCATGCAACAAGATGTGCATTGAGTTAAACCAGCAATCTTGCCAACACTCATTTCCCCTTTAAACAGTAAATAAAAACAATTACCTTGATAGTTTCAACCCCTTGTTAGAAGTAACTCCTGGTTTTCTAACTCCTACTTGAAAGAGTCTACTTAATAGAGGCTGCTTTCAAATAATGTGAGCAAGCTCAGTGAGTTAGGGGTGTGCCTTTATGGGGATACAAATCCCACACAGGTGCAAACAATGAACACTCCCCCAATCAATCAAGCAGCAGCACAAAAAAAGGGGGGAAAACCAGAACACAAAAAAAAAGTAAATTTAAAAAACAATTTTTTTTTTTTTTTTTAAACCTTACCAACTTTAAAGATTAAACAAAATTAAAATACAAACCACTCTCCACAGTATACAAACCACTCTCCACAGTATACAAACCACTCTCCACTCTCTTGTTGGTAAAGTCCAAGCTTGCAAAATTATAAACTTGACATTTACACTTTTATTGCGCTAGTATCTTTATTGTGTGCCTGATACTGAATTATAATTAGAGAATATATTCACACATGAGCCAATACTAACAAAAAAAAAAACATGCTGTTACTTTGCTCTAGGCATATTTCTAGCCCAAAGCATTTTTCTTTCAATAAGAATACGCATAATATTATTTGGCAATATAAATATTGTCACCATGACCAATTTTTACCTATGGGAGCTGTAAAATATCAAAATCATAGATTTGTAGAAATGAGGAGCAAATATCACTCTGTTATGTTTTTTTCATGTTGTTTATTACTCTCCTTAATTGAAATAGCTCAGCAGTAATTGGGTGTTTGCACAAACAACATATTCAAGAACTTCATTACATTTGGTTATTTTCCATACCCCTTCACATAAACTAAAAATATGAAATGCTTCAATGCAGTAAATGACATTTTAAACTGGCTTTTGGAATCCTTGTGGTTTTGATTTTATACTTTCAACATTTGTTTTTTATTAAGCAACCCTGCAGGGAAAATAAAGCTGTATTCTAAAATAATATCACTGTAATGTTTACACCAGTATAGTACTTGTTTATATGTATTTTATGATTATTTGTAAGATAATACAAATCTCCTACAAAAAAAAGATGAGCTTTATCTAGCGCTACAACAATAATGCTCTATGTATTAATATCAGTAGAGTTATTACAAGAAATGCATTTAGTTAGTGTAAATGCACTATGGCTGTCCAGATGGGATTAATCAATATCCCTAGGATTCTGTTCTCCCACTAGAGAATAGGTATAGCATTCTTAACCAGCTGAATTAAGTACCAAGTTCTATCTTTTAAACCAACTGTGTTTTGCGTTTTAATTATTTATTAATTTATCAATGTTATTTAACAATGGAAATAGAGAAGAATGGGAAAAAGATAGGTGAATGTAAGTAAACAAATAAAAAGATACAAATGGGAGAATATACCATGTAATAGTTATATGTCATTACAAGGTACATTACAGATACTGTATGTGATTGCATGAGACAAGTATATATTTAGATGATGACAATGATAAAGCAAATATTTCAGGTCATTGTACAGGTAGAATTGTGGATTTTATGTGTGACAAAATAATAAATGAATGTAGCTTGTTCTTTATATTTAACCTTTTAAAAAACAGACTTTGAACGGTTGCACCATTGATGGTTAGTGAAGATTTGTAAGAAAGATGGAATGTAACTAATATTTTCAGCAAACAACACAAGTCTGATAAATATAGGGGTTCTTATCACTGTATACATAGAGGAGAAAGTGTTCATCTGGGAAGTCTTAATACTAGGATATGGACATAATTTAAGAGGGAAAAAATGCACCAGCTTTAGTTGGAAAGTTTGGCAAAACTGTTCCAAATTATTATGCAAATGATATTTTTCTCATTTACCTAAATAATTGATGTAAATAACAGTCAGCATAATTCTCATCAACTATTAAGAGTACAATACAAATGTTATTGAACAAACCTCCTAATGATAACAGTATTATTTTACACATAAAAAACTTACAGTACACTGGTCCAAATTATTACGCACAGTAAGTTTCAAAACACTTTATGGGTTGTAAAGAACTGAAAATTGTCATTTGTTGTGTTTGCACCATATTTACTGAAATCAAAAGCTATTTCAATCAAACTTATAACAACATTTTAACTTTTTAAACATTTTAACAGGTCACGTTACATTTTAACATAGGACCTCTTATTTGATAGCAGCTTCACAAGTCTTGCATCCATTGAACTTGTGAGTTTGTGGACAGTTTCTGCTTGAATTTGTTTGCAAGATGTCAGAATAGCCTCCCAGAGCTGCTGTGTGGATGTAAACTGCCTCCCACCCTCATAGATCTTTTGTTTGAGGATGCTCCAACGGTTCTCAATAGGATTGAGGTCAGGGATGGAGGCCACACATGACTGCAGCCATTGATGCAGAGGTATTATTTGCAGCATGAGATGGTGCATTGTCATGCATGAAGATGATTTTATTATGGAAAGCATTGTTCTCCATCCATCTGTACCATCCGGGGTTGCATGGCACTCATCAGTGAACAGGACTGTTTGAAAATTAGTCTTCATGTATTTTTCTGCCCAATGCAGCGGTTTCTGCTTGTGAGCATTGGTTAGTGGTGGCCGAATAGAAGGTTTATGCACAGTTGCAAAACTCTGCAAGACTCCTTGATGTCCGTGGGACTCCAGAGGCACCAGCAGCTTCAAATATCAGTTTGCTGCTATGTAATGGTATTTTAGCAGCTGTTCTCTTGATCCGATGCATGGATCTGGCAGAAATCTTCCTCAATGTGCCTTTATCTGCACAAACTCGTCTGTGCTCTGAATCAGCCACAAATCTCTTAATAATGCGATGATCACGCTTACGTTTTCGTGAAATATCAAATGTTTTCATGCCTCGTCCAAGGCATTGAACTATTTCAATTGTCACCATGACCATAGGCAGCAATTGTCACCATGACCATAGGCAGCAGAGAGATCCTTTTTCTTTCCCAATATTGCTTGAAAATGGTGCTCTGCTTAATAACGTGGAACACCCTCCTTTAGTAGTTTTTCCTTAAATTGGGCTCACCTGGCAATCTAATTATCACAGGTGTCCGAGATTGTTTTCAGTGATCAAAAGAGCTCTGAGACACAATGCCATCCATGAGTTAAACTGAAAAACAAAATATTTAATCTTTGTGACACTTAAATAGAATTTGCATAG